CCTTAGCTGGTTGAGCTATAGGCGCCGAGCCTAACCAAATGGTTTTACTGTTCATTGATGATCCTTGGCTAAATTATTTCGTTAGAGGTTTTAAAATGATGATTTTTCTTTCTTTTCTTTCTTTCTTTTCTTTTTCTTTCTTTTTTTGTAGAGACAGAGTCTCACTTTATCATACTCCATAGAGTACCATGGAGTCACACAGGTCACAGCAACCTCCCAACTCCTGGGCTTAGGCGATTCTCTTGCCTCAGCCTCCCGAATAGCTGGGACTACAGGCGCCGGCCACAGCGCCCAGTTTTTTATTTTGTTGTTGCAGTTCGGCCTCGAACCCGCCACCCTGGGTATTTGGGGCCCGCGCCCTACTCCCTGAGCCACAGGCGCCGCCCAAAATGATGATTTTTCTAATTTCGTCATTCTGTTTTACATTTATTAGCTGCCTTAATTTTTTTTACTTGAGACAGAGTCGCGCTTTGTCACCCTCGGTAGAATGCCGTGGCGCCTCTAACAGTAACCTCTAACTTTTGAGCTCAAGCGATTCTCTTGCCTTAGCCTCCCAAGTAGCTGGGACTACAGGCGCCCGCCACAACACCCGTCTATTTTTAGAGGCTGGGGACTCTCTCTGGTTCAGGTTGGTCTTGAACCTGTAAACTCAGGCAATCCACCCACCTCTGCCTCCCAGAGTTCTGGGATTACAGGTGTGAGCCACCGTGCCTCACCTAGCTGCCTTAATTTCATAGAAAAGGACTCTTGTCAACTGGGATGAGTTAGTTTGAAGTATAACTCCAACTGGAAAGGTAGTATAGATTCTTAGTTTTTCTTTTTACTTATTTGCCTAGTAATGCGTGGTTGTAGTGTAAGAGTCACCTAGAAGAGTGACAAATACATAAAAATCATTTTTATGATTGTTCTTTCTTGTGTATTATGATAGAAGCATGAATTTTTATATATTCTCTGTATGTCAATCACTATAATTATTCTTTTTGATATTCAAATGGTTCCAGATTAAACCAGTAGAAGCTTTTTGAAGCTATCTCTGGTGTCCTTTTGAAACATCTCATTAATCATTAAAAGCTCCCTGGCTTTCTGTCACTCCAAAGATGTACCAAGTTCATCTTTTTTATTCCCCGTTATAGATAGGAAGCAGCCATTGCTCTAAGAACAGTTGGCAGCTTTTACTAAAGACCAATTTTAGAGACCGCAACCTGGGTCTTAGGAGTAATAATGGCTGTTCAAGTAAATATATATTAGACTTTCTTGTGGTATCCTTTATGGTTTTAGCTTATCATTTTTCCTATTCTTTTGTATTTTCATATCTCATTCTGGGTATTTTCTTTTGAACTACATTCCACTTTAATAATATTTCTTCAGCTATGTACCATCTTCTTTCTGTTAAACCAAGATCAGTCCTGAACTTGGCCAACAACAGATGGTACATTTAATCAGAGTAAATCAGAAGGCTTTAATGGAAGACTATTTATAAAGTATGGACAGGGAAACCTTTGTCAATTCACAGCTGGTCATGGAGGGAGTCAGGGGAATGTGCACCTTGGCTTCTCTCTCTTTTTGGCCTCTGAATCTGCCAATACCTGCAATCAGCCAAACTGAACCGGAAGCCAGTGAGTGAGAGCCTCTGGCTGATGCAAGTTATAGACATCAACCTGGGGACAGGATAAAGGATGGAGCATGACTATGGGTGGGAAAATGGGGACTCTGTAGCACAGCTTTCACTTGTGCCCTTTGGATGAAAACCTCTACCTTTATCACAAGTGACACACACATCTCTTAACTGAGACATACTTTCACATGAAACCTAAAACATCGCCCAACACCAGTTCTCCCAATATAAAGTAGCTGGGAGGAGAAAAGTGACTTAAAAAAACAAAAGAAATTTCCATGTCAACTTTTTTTTTTTTTTAAAGACAGAGTCTTCTGTGTCACCCTGGCTAGAGTGCAGTGGTATCATCACAGCTCACTGCGACCTCAAACTCCTGAGTTCAGGTGA